TAGGTTTTGCGGAGGGTGGGCATTAAACACCAACCATAACAAAACTAAAAACTATCTGGTGAAAGAAGAAGATTTGCCTGAAATCAAAGATTAGATCGTTGCATGCATTGTCCTTTTCTGTAACTTCTACACGCATGAAGATCTTGGATATTAACAGCAGAATTACATTAAAGAATTTATTCATTAGAACTGAGATGCTAATGAATCTTTCCAGGCATCACCCTCGTAAACTCTCACAAATCTCAAAGCGTGAAACACAATCAATCATGAAACAGGGACAGTGGAATACTAAGATCTGGTAATAATTAAAAAAAAATCTATAGTTTCGCGTAATATCGCCCTTAAGGACGATATTACGCGAAACTCACATTCAATAAGAGCAAGTCCATTGAACTTTTATTCAACTATTGGATATAAGGTCAGTATTTACTTAAGATAATTTAATATTTTATAAAAATATTTACCCGAGATTAATGGTACTTTATAAGGACATTAATTATTCGTGTGCCTGAAACAATTCTTTGTCGCCATTTTTTTTCTCTAAATTTGAAAAAAAAAATAAAATAGATAATTACTCTCCCCCCAAAAAATGAAATAAAAACTCCTAGTTCCGCATTTCAGCATAACGGAGCCCACAAAGTGTTGCAAGCGCCCACGTTAGGTAACACAGTTTTAAATAATTGAGCTGTCATTTTCTCCTCCACTTCAACTGGTTGATCATTTTTCTGCATGAAATGAATTGACTGGAGATTTGATATTTTCGCCCTATCTGCTAATTTCATTTTCAGTTTAATCATTCTAAAGCCTAGCACTCAGTTACAGTCTCTCTATACATACAAACACAAGCCCTCCCTCTCTCTCTCTTTCTGACGCACACACATACAGAAAAAAAAAACACGACAAACATTTCTGAACTGAATGACTATAAAGGAATCAGACAGTCCCTAATCCGGCTTTCCTAATCGAAAAAGAAACACATTGTGTTTCCTCATTAATAATTCGTACTGTTTTTCTTGCACAGTGCATTATCAATTATATTAAAGAAAAAGAAAAAATATATAATAGAGCTGCCTTTGTTCTTCGTCGTGATTGTTTTTAATTTATTCTTTCAATCTTTCGTTCCACACTATTTAAAATGTCTTTTAGACTTAAGTCGTTCAATAAAATCCAGGGAAAGCAAAATGACCTCAAAATGATATAACATTAAATGCACCGTGAAAAAAGATAAGCTGTGTTAGCACGAAGTCACAAGTCATCGTGGCCGAGAGCTTCAGCGTGCTGGCTTCTTACAAATTGTTGACCACGCTAGATGATACGCCCTTTACAAAAAACAGTAACTCGGGTCTGCTCAGCATAGTTGCAGTATAAACCACAGATTGGGTGCCATGGATGATGAATAAACACAAATGCGTCTAAAATATGGATTGTCTAGCCGCACTGGCAGACGTATATGACGAGCTGTTTGTGTGTGTGTATATATATATATATATATATATATATATATATATATATATATATATACATGTTTCATTAAATAATATAGACAAGTGTTGTCTATTTATTTTATGTAAACTCTTTTTCATAACGTCTAATAAGTTTAATAACATTAAAATTGAACGAAGAAAGAAATTCACAATATTGATCCATATTTTTTTAATACAATCTAAGCTTTCTAAACATTAATTTCTTTTAAAGAAAACCCACCATTTCCGGTTTTAAGTTTAATATAAAGTAATATTCCCAACTTTAAATGTTTTTCATATAATTTTAATTCCGTCTAGTTGGATATATATATATATATATATATATATATATATATATATATATATATATATATATATATATATCAGTTTTCTCCTGTTAATTTCTCTCTGAAAGTTCTCCACAGCCTTAACCGGGTATTGAACTCACACTCTTTGGGTCCTGTCACTGGATCAATGCCTTTATCCACTGGACCAATGCCTTTATCCACTGTGCCATATATCGCTGATAACGGATAACTGGCATCCATTAAACATGGCACGTGGAACTAGAACAGTCTACCCCAGCAAGTGATATAAAGGGTTCAGTTCGACATTCCAACCACCTGAAGATGGCCGGAGCGTACAGCGGTCGAAACGTTGTAATAAATATGGCGACAAAGATGAGGACAATAGTCCGAACAATGTAAATAATGTGCATAATATCTTATCTCAGAAATACATACACACACACACACACACACACACACACACACACACACACACACACACACACACACACACATATTGAACTTAGTCTAATTGTGTTGTTTCTTTGTTTCGTCCTAGTGGTTTGTCTTGATCTATTTGCTACAGGCGTTGAGCCCTTTGGTAGCTGGAATATAAAAGTATATAGACACCTACGTAGATGTCTCTCTTTTGTCTTTTTTATTTTCATTTTGTTTATTTTCTCTTATTTTCTCTTTTGATTTTTGGTTCTTGAATTCTGTTACTTTTTCTTTATTCGTTTCAAGATTTCAACGTTTGACAAATATGCGTTGTAATCTTTACCGGCAGCTTAGTCTGGTTCAATTTTATGTACATGCGTAGATATGTTTTCCTTATGAATTGGCGATATTTGAAACCAACTGAATCTAATATTGCAGAAAAAAAGGAAACATATAGTTACAAAACTATTAACAGCAATAACAATGCCCAAATACACTAAAAATAAAGAAATATTTTTAAGCCTTTCGCCCCAATGAAGGTGGTGTGCCACTAGCACGCAGGGGGTTACAGAGAGTGAAATTAAGAGTAAAGAGGGGTGTCTGAGGAAAGTGTAGTGGACCGCGGCTGTTATGTCGTTGAGTAGAAGTAGAAGAAACATGTGGGTTCAGATTTTCCTGCTAGCTGGTCCAACTACACAAGAAAGTTGGACTTTAAATTAAGTCCAAAGAATGCAAAGAAAACAAAAAAAATACCGATAATATATGTATACAAATATATATATTAATAACAGGTTACATAAAACAGTTACAAAGGACAAAGTGTGTGTGAATATTATATATGTGCGTTTGTGTGTGTGTGTGTGTGTGTGTGTGTGCTTGTGTTCCCAGCATTTTGGGAAACACTATCTCTGGTGAGCGTTCACATTTTTGAGGTGGTAAGGCTGGAAGCCTGAGGAAAAAGAGAGATTTACCTCAAGGTGTCGGCGCACAGGCCTGAGGGAAAAAGAGAGAGAGGCGAAGGGTCAGCGGCTATTTATAGCAGCGAAGAGCGACCACTGGTGAAAGGGTTACGAACTGAAGGAGGAGTTAACTCCGACAATAGGATAAAGTGAAGGAGGCGGAGTAGTTGCCATGAAAATATTTATAGAAAAGACAGAGGGAAGCCAAATAACGTCTGTGATAAAGTGACTGTCGTCGAGATGACATATCAGGACCTATCATATTGCATATCCCTCTCTGGATTTTGTCAAGAACCTCGACATGAACAGCGGGGACAACAGACTATATATAGCAAGACTATTCAATGCTAGGACGAATGAAATCAATGTAGATTTGAAGGGTGAAATTCTGTGTGGAACCGACTTTCCTTGCGCTAGATGTAGCTATCGTTTCAATGTAGTTCCACTTCTGGACAGTGGAAAACACGAGACGAAGTAGGTGCAAAGAGACGCCCTCGTGAAGTTGAGCATCAACCATGCTGATTGGAGGCAGTGTTGTTTCTCTATGGTGGCTAAATGTGAGCAGTTTCATTTAGGTTGCATTAAAATTCACAAGCCATTTCCTGCTCTAGTCAATCACAAATTGGAGATCATTTTCGAGAAAAACGGCTGGGTTAACTTTATCAGCAATGGCGGATTTACTATTGAAACAGGAGAAAATGGTAGTGACGTCTGCGTAGATGTCTACTTGAGAACTGATGATATCAGGAAGATCGGTGATGAAGATCGGAAACAGTGTAAGACACAGGATACATCCTTGGTGAACACCAGTGTTCGTATGAAAGGATCTGGAGGAGAATCCATTTAGGACGGCCTTCATTTTCTGGTTATATTACAATGTTTACCGCGAACGAAGGAAATGATCAGAAATATAAAAAAATATACAGAATATACTCGAAAATTTGTAAAAAACCGATTCATTTTGCTTTTACCCAAACTTATAGGTATATATCTATATTTCTTTTACTGTTCCTATCCTTTTTTTTTACCTTTCATTTTATTTCTTACCACCTCAATCTCTACCCATCTAGTCAAATCCATCAACACTGACCACATAAGAGACGGCTTCCCCAAACCAATTACTAAAAGCCTCTTCCCCTCGTTCAAAATCATACTCCCCCGACCTTCCACGCCGATAAAGACAAAAAAGACGCGTTCACCCCGACCATTTAAAAAAAAAATTCGCAGGCGAGGAATAAAGCAGGGATCATATTTATACTAATACTACCATCCACAACGAGTCCTCACCAGCCCCCAAACACACACCATTGTTGAGTCTTCCCCGTTTCCCTGTTTATTTCTCGCACTGCGGATGAAGGACACAGTCGTGCCCGAAAATTTTGGACTAACAACATTAATCTCCATGCTTCATTTCTGTCTTGTGATTAACAATTAATATGTAATAAATTCTTTTCTTTTCTTTTCTTTTGTGTGTGTGTGTGTGTGTGTGTGTGTGTGTGTGTGTGTGTGTGTGTGTGTGTGTGTGTGTGTGTGTGTGTGTGTGTGTGAAAAGTGCGTGTATATAAATATAAATATGAATATATATATATATAATTATTTATATATATGTGCAGTACATATTAGAAAGCGCTCAATATCAGAGATAGAGCTAACACACACACGCACACACTCTCTCTCTCTCACACACACACACACACACACACACACACACACACACACACACACACACACACACATATATATATATATATATAAGCAAGAGAAAGAGAGAGAGTGAGATGTTTGATTAAAAGAAGGCAAAGTCTGTTTAACTTTATTGTATTATTCCAATTTTCTCATAAGATCTTGTATAT